GTTTAGTATTGTCAATCAGTCCTAAAGAAGCTTACTCGGTAAGTCCTAATGAGCTGAATGGGAGTTACTGCCAAAGAAGGGTATAGAGGACTGCAGTCTTAGTCTGGCAATCAATCTAGTGCAAGACAGAAATTTTCTAGTGACTTTAGAAACTGGACACTTATGATTCAGTCTGACTGCCAACTGCTAGCCTACCTCTTAATTAGTATGATAACAAAACACCTGTCATTATCATTCTAATGGGCACATCTAGTATCTTGGAAACACATTTTTCTGTAACAAATAATGAAAATAAATAAACCATTCTTACCACTATTTACTGTTTCCTGGTCAATCATGCCTCCTTCTGCAAAGCCATCTAAATCATCCAATTTAACTTTTTCCCAAGGTATATATGAAACTCCAACATCTGCATCCCAAAATTGTTTGTATTCAGTTTTCACACCTTTGTTTAAAGCCCATGCAATCTGAAAATAGAATGCAATTCAATAGTTATGGAAATAAATCACAACTAACATTTCTACCAGGCTTTTGATCTCCTTTCAAACATACTAACCAACAGTCCTATTACATTGTTCATAAGATGGAAGAACTCGCTATGCAAAACCTTCAATATATCCAAATTAAAATGAATTCTTTCACCATCATGTAACTATTTTTCTCTTTTGAGTTATACTTTCTACAACTTCATTATCAAGTTATTTAGCACAAACCAAATTCTTTGAGCCCTTTGTCCTCTACAATTATTGTGTTGTACTTGCCTGAAATTCTTCCCCTGTAACAATCCCCCCCAAATGATGCTCTAATGCAGATACTGTTACCACCAGCCATAAAGTTATATTAACTGGTGTTTTAAAACTGTGTTCCTGTTGATTTCCCATTTTGAAATATTCCACTTGTAATTCTAATCACTGTCTTGACAAGATAATTATTCTAGAGTATCAAGAAAGTCCTATTTTTTCTCAGTAACTATAGGTATTACCAACCATGAAATGTTATATTCTTCACTGTATATGAAAACAAACAATTACTATAATTTATCTTGAAGATGAATAATATGAAGACGTACCTTAATAATTTTAGATCCAATCTTGTAGGATCCAGAGCTTAGTTTCTGAAGAGCACGATAGGCATCTTGTCTATGAACCATACAGACATACGCACAGCCCCTGGGAGGGATCATCTATAAGCAAGAGTCAAGTAATAGTAAAATGTAAACTAATGGCTAGGAATCAGGAATGGCCATCATGGCGGGGCAGTGCTATCCTCTCAACTCTGCTGTTGCTGCCACTTACTAAGAATGTGCAGAGCTGTGCATCAGTCAAAGTCTCTGGTACTCCAATCCTGTGCTCACAAAGCTCTGACCTTACCACTGCCCTGCCCCAGTACACAGCAGTGACACCAAGTGTCAAGAAGGTGACTCCACAACACTCTTTCAGCTGTGATCCCGTCTCCACCACCACCACATACACACACTTTATGTCAGTTTCCCCTCCTTCAGCACCTACCATGCCATTCTGGAGGGTCAACCTGACTTTCAGGAGTGACGTTTCAAGAACCACAATGAGCTGCAGATGCAATGGAGAGGCAGGCAAACCTGCCTTGTTGTGTAAGCAGAACTCCACTTAAATTCCTCTAGAACTAGCTAGGAAGTACAGTTACCTCTATGTAAAAAGGTAAAGGTAAAGGGACCACTGACAATTAAGTCCAGTTGTGAATGACTCTGGGGTTGCGGCGCTCATCTCGCTTTAAGGACCGAGGGAGCTGGCGTTTGTCCACTTCCACAGACAATTTTTCCAGGTCATGTGGCCAGCATGACTAAGCCACTTCTGGCGAAACCAGAGCAGTGCACGGAAATGCCATTTACCTTCCCGCCAGAGCAGTACCTATTTATCTACTTGCACTGTGTGCTTTCAAACTGCTAGGTTAGCAGAAGCTGGGACAGAACAAAGGGAGCTCTCCCCGTCGCAGGGATTCAAACCGCTGACCTTTCAATTGGCAAGCCCAAGCAGCACAATGGTTTAACCCACAGCACCACCCACATCCCTTACCGCTATGTACTAACCCTTGTTTTCTACTAACGAGTACACAACTGTTCAAACAAGGTTATATTATTTTACTAACCCTTATTTTCTACTAATGAGTACACAACTGTTCAAACAAGGTTATATTATTTTTTTAAAGACATATGCTGATTATTTCACTTACATTTATAGATTCTATTTGTCCAAATTCTTCAAATAAATTGGTTAAATCTTGCTGGGTGGCTTTCTTGTCCACCTGACCAACCCAAAGTGTAGTACTGCAGACTGTAAAAACAAATTTTGAATAAATCAAATAAGAGTTTGTCGTATATGTTCACTTAAGCTGGAATCTTTTACGCAGGCTTTTGCCACAGACAAGCTAAAGCAAGTTGGGACCTTGCACAGGGCATGTAATGTATCAAACCAATAAATACAATTGTTTAATTTAAGCATAGAATTCTACTCTTAACTAACCCCTACCATAAAGCATGCAAAATCTCATGCCAAAACTAATATGTACTGTAAACACATTGTAGGAAAGTGAATTAGGAAATGTTAGAAAAAAATATCCCAAGAAATCAGTCTCAACCCTCTGCTTCTTTTGAAAGAATGACTAATAACATATTAAATATTATTTTATTCTTAGAAACATTAAACTGCAAGCAGATGACTTACCACTTAGTGTTTTTGACCGTATAGGAGGCAACCCTTTTTTCTGTCGTTCTTTTTCCCTCTCTCTAGCTCTTCTTTCACTTGAGTAGGACCTGGAGGACTTCCTCTTCCTTTCCCTTGATCTAGAGCGCGAACGCTTTCTATGTTTACGCTTTCTAGAGCCAGATCGTGATCTGGACCTTCTTTTTCTTGGGGACCTGTAAAATAATCAGTTTAATGCAGCTAAGATAACACTCATAAGAAAAGCACAAAACTCATTTTGGTTTTTGAACTTTGGGACAAAAAAAAAATCTACTATGTGAAGAAAATTACAAAATTACCTTGAGCGGGATCTTGAACGTGTTCTTGATCTTGAAGGAACTACAGGTTTCTTTTCCTCTTGCTCAAATACCTCTTGTTCTACAACTTCTTGACCTTCATCTATGTCCATGTCCTGAATATAGAAGAAAGAGGGGCTCACACCAAAGTACAGGAAAACATGCTCACAATAATTTTGCAAAAGCAATCTATATGCACAAAATGGCTTGCATATGAAGGTCTTATTCCTCATTGCAGTTCTATATGCAGAAAAGTGTGATGTGGGAAAATCCCCACATGCAAAATTTAAGGGTATATGTGCTATTCTCTTGTGGCGCACATATTCATGAAATTATCACTTCCTTCAGAAAGGATAGCAACCATCTGTTCAAAGGAATGGGGAAGAATTCTTAGGCCCAGTATCATATCTATAGCATATTGCTGCCCAGGAAGACCCTAACAAAGGCTAGTGCATTTATCCTTTATTTTACAAAATTTACATTACTGGTCTTGTAAACTGTAACCACAGAGATCACACTTTATAGATGCAAATAGAAACAGCGAATTTCACCTGTTGTTGAACATCCATTGAATTGTCAAGATTTGTTTCTACTTCTAAAAACTGTTGGTGGCTGCTGTCTTGTGAAGGTGATGCTGAATGCTCAGAGCCAAAATTCCCTTCTTGTGTTTCCTCAGGACTTGCCTGCAAAAAGAAATTATGCAAGGTTAATATTTCCATCCGTTTTACCTGAAACTGTACTGGCTTTGCAGGAAGAGGCATGCTGTACATATGTAGCAACCCCATTTGGCATAAACCTGTATCATTATTAGAATATTTGTTGGTTTGTTTATTTTTGCCCAATTATGTGAAAAGACCAAGAGAAGAGCTGTTGCAATTCTAGTGAGGAATCAAAACATTAATATTATGAACTGCGAAAAATATTGTAAGATGAACTTAGAATGCAAAGTTCTGCATTTTAAGGAACTGTTGCATCAAAAATTACATTTATTGTTTGTTTATTAAATTTCTATATTGCCCTTCATCCAAGGATCACAGGGTGGTTTACAATATACCGTATTTTTTGCTCTATAAGACTCACCTTTTCCCTCCTAAAAAGTAAGGGGAAGTGTGTGTGCGTCTTATGGAGTGAATGCGCTCTGTGCAGCTATCCCAGAAGCCAGAACAGCAAGAGGGATTGCTGCTTTCACTGCGCAGCGATCCCTCTTGCTGTTCTGGCTTCTGAGATTCAGAATATTTTTTTTCTTGTTTTCCTCCTCCAAAAACTATGTGCGTCTTGTGGTCTGTTGCGTCTTATAGAGCGAAAAATACGGGGGAGATATATATATATATATATATATATATATATATATATATGTTACACAGGAGAAGTTAACAAATTTGCTGCTTTTTGAGACTAAAATTATGACTCCATCAAATGCCACTCAGAGCATAGATTCATAAATCCAGATGGATATGTTAGAAGTGTGTTAGATGTCAATGCTTGGTGACATCTAGTGGCAAATCTACTCAGGTTATCTCCTGAAAAATGAAACAAATTCTCCTGAAAAAGGAAACCAGTACTGAAGAATACCAATATTAAACTAATTCTCAGCATTACAACTCTGTTCAGCTGTATACGATTTTTAATTCATCCATCTCAAAGTTTGCCAACACCTTTTCACTATGCAAACCCTGTACAGTGGTACCTCGGGTTAAGTACTTAATTCGTTCCAGAGGTCCGTTCTTAACCTGAAACTGTTCTTAACCTGAAGCACCACTTTAGCTAATGGGGCCTCCTGCTGCCACTGTGCCGCCGGAGCACAATTTCTGTTCTTATCCTGAAGCAAAGTTCTTAACCTGAGGTACTATTTCTGGGTTAGCGGAGTCTGTAACCTGAAGCGTCTGTAACCTGAAGTGTATGTAACCCGAGGTACCACTGTATTTCATTTGATGACTATTTATAACTAGACTGTTGTGAGAGAGGTTAGTTTTACCCTACTGATGATGTGTTGTTGCGATCGTAATCCTGCTCAGTACGAGAGGAACAGAAGTTCAGACCTTTGGTGTATGTGCTTGGCTGTTGAGCCAATGGGGTGAAGCTACGATCTGTCGGATTATAACTGAACGCCTCTAAGTCAGAATCCCCCCAAATGTATTTATAACTATTATCTAATTCCCACTTTAGCTGTGTTTCTGCTATCAGAATATTTTTATTGAAACAATCAATTTTCTTTCAAATCCATTCCTAGTCTCTCAATTCAGATACTCTTTGTACAAGTCCTTTGCAAAACTATGTAAATCTACAAAGTAGGGCTGCTATGCTCCAAATTCACACAGTTATGAAGGGATGTTTACTACTAGTATTATTTTGGGGTTATGACACTAAGAAAAAAGGCCTAAATTATGCAAGCCTTTCTTCATAACCTTCTGCCACCCCACTTGAATAGTTTGAACTTTGGCCTTGAAAGCTGCTTAAAGAGAATGTCATTGGGACATTGCTACATACTCCAGTTTGCGTTTAAGCCACTTTCACCAAACCCTCATCCCCAAGCACTTTTTGATCTCAGGGAAGTGCTTCTTGGTGGCAACTGATCAGAAGAAATCACTTCAAAACACACACACACACAGTTGCATGTGTGCCTCTTTGTACTGCTGCCTTCACTGTGTGAAAAACATTAAAAGTAAGTTATAATGCTTTTCTGCTTTTATGATAAAGAACATTAAGGTAAAAATCACTTTTGCTAACTAGAAACATAGTAATAATACTAAAAAGATGGCCACCTATTGTCCAAAAAAGAAAATATTATACCTTTGGAGGTTGCTGCTCCAGAAGCTGCTGGCGGAGATGTTCTAGGTTTTGTTGCTGTAACTGTTCAGCTAGTTGGTGAAAAAGTGAGTTGTTCACAGATTCAGATACAAGAGGCCTAAAACACACAATTAGAACAGTCAATCAGCTTCTAGTAATAATCTTATAGATTGCTTTAATACAAAAACAAGTTCGGTAATAGGGCTGTGCGATAAATCGCCATATAGTGGTAAGTGTTTCAACAAGGCAATATACTGGTGAACAAAAGGTGGAGACTTGACAGCTTCCAAGGGGGTAGCTCAGTTGAACCTATACTTGACAGATACTTTACAGATTAATTGCAGGCACCTGGTCTCCTGCTTTGTTTGCTCTCTCATGCCTCACTCTAACCTGTAAGAAATGATGATAAGCCCTCACACAAACCAGCAAACACTTTCAGCTTCATAGTATCTTTCCACTTACTCAGCTAATTATTCAGAGTCTGCTAACAATCCAGGAGGAGACCCCCCCCCCCCGCTAGACAATCAAATATCCTGGGAAAAGTAAAAAAAGTAAACAAAAAACTGGAAAGAACTTCTTTCTTCCCTCACATTCACCCCCAACAGTGGAAAAAAAGAGGGCGAAGAGTTTTATTTTCATTTTCTGGTGGTATTTGTCTTGTTGGTTCCCCCTAAATAGCCTTCCTCCATATTAAAAAGAAAGGGTTTTTAAAAGTTTAAATGAGACTAGCTTTTTGCTTGCCCTCCCTCCCTCCCTTTGACAAAAAGGAAGAGATGGGTGGATGAGGGCTTCTGTGGGGCAGCTTCTGTGGGGTGATGGTGGAGGGGAGTGGATTAACTAGCCTTATGCTGAAATGGGAGGTTGGGTAGTATGTGAGAATGATGGGGAAGGTGTTTTTCGGTAAGCAGTACAGGCAAATGCGTATGTACTCACAAGCAAGCCCTACTGAATTCAATGAGGCTTACCCCCAGGAAAGCAGAAGTAAGTTTAGTTGAACTCAGTGGGGCTTACACATGCAAAGATTCCACTTAGACCTCTGAGTGGGGAAGCAGATGCAACTTGACTAGTAAATCACCTAAAGTACTCTTAAATTAGTTTAAAATACATTAAATATTTTATATGGAGGTTTATTTAATATTTTTGTGAAATCTACTACTTCCTTACATTTTAAGGCCCTCCACCGCCGCAGGGAGCCTCATCAAGGCCCATAGCTGCTACAAGGAAGTGCAGCACGCCCTCTGCAGCTGCGAGGAGATACAGTGGGACCCTCGGACCACAGGGAGGCGCAGCAAGGCCCTCAACCATATGGTGATATATCTCAATATTGTGATATTTAGCTGGTGATATATCATGATGTTGAAAATCAGGTATCACCCAGCCCTATTCAGTAATACAACTGAATTTTACACTAATTTGCAATCTGTTGCTATAGCCTTGAGGTTACTATAATAGCTTTGACCCAAAGATGCTGTTGCAGGCCTCCCTGTATTCTTGCTCTTGTTACAACTCCGAGGGCCAAATCTTATGCTAGTTTAGAAGGCTCCCCAGGAAGCAGCTTTTGGCAGCACAAAGGGCTCCAGTAGGAAGGGGGAAGCAAGAAAGTATTTATCAAAGGAACTCGTACCACTCCTTTCTCCTTCAAAAGAAACTGCTCAAGGAAGTTTGCAACATACTCACTGATACAATATGACAGTTTAAAACAGAGAAGAACACAACCCATGGAAGTTAGTATCCAAGCCAATGTTCTATGTACATTTAGATTAATGAAGCATGGGACTTTGAAAATATGTTTTAAGGACAGAGTACAAGATTCTAACATCTGCTACAGCAAATCATTTTTTGTAAAAGACAAGCAACTTTGAAACAAGCAACATTCAGCGTAACAGGAACAATATCAAAAGTAGCAAACTCTGCAACCAAAAGGCTTCAATGAAAATTAAACTCATTTTAGAAGTTTCCACTGAGATTTAAATCCAATGAAAATCTGAAGTAAAGAAAAGCCTTATTAATTCGCTGGGACAAACATAGCACTAGATATTATAATAAGTAATGTAACTAATTGTTTTGCCTTTGCCCACCTAACAAAGTTTGAAAAAAGGTAATCTAAATAGGTACACCCAAAGATACTTCAATATAAAATAGGTACATTTATATAAAGTGGTTTAGAAGTACTTTTAATTAAATACTGCTTTTAGATTATCACTTATTAGCTTAATAGGCCAATATAGAAATGAGCATTCTGTCTACACATGCAGCCCCTCCGCTTTGCAAGCAAGCAAGCAAACCAAGCAACCAGGAAGTCTACTTTTCACACTATTTCCACTTGATATATTAAACGAAGTGAAGTCTTACAGTTGGGAAGTTGGAGTTTCTTTTTTAGGTTCTTCATTAATGTCAGCTTCTTCACCAAAATCGCTAAACCTATCCATCAGCTTCTAGGAGAAAACAAACAATGCATTAGAAATGCACTATATCCACAAACTATTCAAGATGGCATGTTAAAAGGAAGGCACACTAGCTTACTTGTTTATTTTTGGCCTGTTGGAAATGTACATTTTCATATGTCTGTATATATTTTACTTACTTGGCATATGAAAATGGTAATACAGATAAGCCATAAATAGGATGAGACTAATGAATACAACTTAGTTCTTTGTACGGTTACATCTTATGCCTGGGTTAAATGTGATGTTTGATATGCTAGAAAAAACCAGCACACCTCAAACAAATGCAGCCAGTGCCCCATTTAAATTGGGTTACCTATACATATGTATAAAACTAGTGGTATATTTAAATTGGGTTACCTTACTGAATCAGGGATCTATGTCCCAGGTTTATGCTGGTGTACTGACACATAAGCAACCATCAACCAATTTAAAGCTGGTGCCAGCAGTACAGAATTATGTACAGGTAAGCTGCTTCATATGGCTAGGTCAAGGTTTAGACCAGTCAGCATAAAATAGCTACTGCATTCATAAGTAAGCTCCTGGGATTGCAAAGAAAGAAACTCAACTGTCTGTTACCTTTAAAAAGTAGATTTGATGAAAAACTAGTTTAGTGATCCAGCATCCGGGTCTGTACATGCAATTCCCAACACTGGGTCAATAACTGCATATTAAAGCACCAGACATGGTGTGAATATGGATCATCTGGTTGCAGGTATGGGGAACTGCATCCAGATACCCCCACCATCCCCGTATCAGGAAGGGGCTTGGATTCAGGCTCATCTCTCAATCTAGGTGACATTTTGACCCTTTGATTTGTTAAACATATTTCTAGATCAGGGCCAACATCGCTGAAAGAAGATGAAAGATTCAGCATATCACCTCTAAAATATTTTAAGAAGCTGACATATTTTAGTAAAAATTTTCTATTAACACCTTAAGATTTAGAAGATATTAAAAATCTATTTTAAAAACAAAGCAAAAGGGAAACAAGGAAACAAAATCCTTGGAAATATATTCTTCAAATTCTAGCAACCTTTCTCAAACTTGGTAGATCAACTTCTACCTTGTTAAAAGAGACACTCTGTTCTAGTGGGTTAAGTGTATTGGCAGCAGCGGCAGCAGCTGTAAGTTGTGCAGTGAGGGCTTGTAACTGAACGACGAGACCTGCATCCAGTGCTTGAAGTAATGACGGCTGTGGTTTCTGCTGTTGCATTTGCAGTGTCTGTATTAGTTGTTGAAGCTGGAATGAGGGGAAGAAGAGAGAAATGACATTTTTGCTAGTGTTATGTACACATTTATAAAATAAACATATAATTTGACTTTGAAAATTAATTTCCATTTATGCCCAGCTATTCTTAAAATGTGCTTTGAAAGACAAGGGATGGCAAAACACCAAAACAAAACAAACCCATTTATATATGCATTATTATTTATTGTATTTGCTTATATTTTATACGCAACATTCAACTCGTTCAAGCAATTTTCGGAAAACAGTAACTGCTTCCAGAGAAATGCTGAAAGGAAAAAACGGTGGATATCAGGGCTCTGCCCCCAGTCTGGCCAAATCCCAAGAGCTGATTTAGGCCGATGTGTATCCTGTCCAGATTAGGCTGAAGCAGTTACAAATCACTACAGGCAGGATAAGATTGTCTCAGTCAATTTGTACAGATTTGTGTCGATGCGTAGCTCAAAACTCTCAAAAGTCAAAGTGTGTCTCTGAAATGCTGCAATTATTAATTACGACACCATAGAATGGTGGTGAAAGGGGAAACAGGGGAGCTGAACTATGCTTAATGAGAGCTGTAGGGTATGCCTAGAATGCTATTACCCCACCCAACACTCTTCAATTACTGCATGTGTCTGTGAAAGTTTTAAATGCAGAACTCTTTTGTAGGTTCTGTTTCTTAAAAAGTGTTTGGTGGGACTGGGTGGCATTCATTCAGTTTGTGTTTATTTTCTATCCTTTTACAATCAATGCCAGTTCCATCATTAAAACAAAAACAAAATTTTGTTACCTGTCTTTTTTTATTTTAGTATCTTCTCACAGCGAAGAATTATCACCATCATTATTAATTACAATTTATTATAAGCCAGCCAGCCAAACATTGTGGACATAATCTACTTAACTTAGCATTATCATTATTATCAATTTAGGGCAAACATAGGAGCATGAAAATTGACATAACTGAGCACACTTTTTATTGAAAAATTATTTGCTTTTTTTAAAAAAAAATGTAAACTTTAAAGATGATAACATGAAAACCCCTGGAGATAGCCATATAACATTTTACAGAGTTAAACTCCTCTATACGGCCTACCAAGTCTCCATATTTCATATTCCTATGTAAAAAAAAAAAGTTACAACTGTTCTTGTTTTGCAATGCAAAGGGATTTCTCGAGAGTGTTCGACAGTGGAATTTGCTGCCAAGGAGTGTGGTGGAGTCTCCTTCTTTGGAGGTCTTTAAGCAGAGGCTTGACAACCATATGTCAGGAGTGCTCTGATGGTGCTTCCTGCTTGGCAGGGGATTGGACTCGATGGCCCTTGTGGTCTCTTCCAGCTCTATGATTCTATGATTCTATGAGATTTCCCTAAAATCCCGGTCCAGTAAACCAGGTCCAAACCTTATTTACAAATCGTAAAACACAAGTCAGATCAGGGAGGGATATCTCATGCATTACTCTTTTGGAAACATACTGACATACAAGGGTACCTATCATGCTGGCATTCAGTATCACATATCACATCCAATACGAGCATTTGACAAATCAAGAATAAATTAAAGGGGGGGGGAATACTCTTGGACCTTTCATGGACAATTTAAACTAAACATATAAGTAAGGAGGTTAATTACCCAATTCTGTGATTTTGTTTTAAAGCCGAACACACTTTACCTGTTGGCCTTGTGGACTCTGCAAGATCTGTGCTACAGCAGTAAGAGTATCTGTATTAGTTATCTGAGACACCCAAGGATCAGGTAAACTTTGGACCACATTGGCTGGTGTAGCAGGTGTCACAGGCGTTCCTGAAATCAAGGGGAAAGGCAGGAAGCATGTAATAAAAAGTATGTAAAGAGAATGAATGGGGAAGGGAAGGTAGAAGACATACAAGAGCCAGGGCTGTTGTTTTTTTTAGCCTAGGCTGTGAACATATATATGTAAAGAGAATAGCTGCATATTGCGAAAATACAAATCAACCAAAATTCTCTCTCTATCTCTGAACAGAGCTTCAGCAAACCATGTGAAAGCCAGGCCTCCCCAACAATTAACTTATTCTGATTTTCAAGTTTTAACACATTTTCAGTTTTATTTTACTGGGTTTCCTGAGAAGACTATGATTAAGTGGTATACAAACTGTTAAATTAAAACTAAAATAAAAATTAATGGAACTACCTAGGATGACAACTTGTACTTGACCCATATGATAATCCTACAGGCAAGGACCACGAGCAGCACAAAGTAACTCTATTCCTTGAACAATGCACACAAAAGTATACCAGTTGAAAACCATCAGACAGAAGGGCCATCTCATCATTATCAACCAGTCAAATTTGAAGCAAAGAGAACTTAGTTGGCATCATACCCCTATATGAAAGCCTTGGATATGTTTACACACATCCCTCTCTAAACACCAACCAGGCAAGCAAGAGTAATTACCAGACTTCAAGATCAAATTTCAGGCAGCAAAGAACAAAAAAATATGGCCTGAGGAGGTATGGAATGGCAAGAATTCCAAGGGTCAGAACATTTGGGCCCTGGACCTGAGGATCTCCACCCTTACATTAACTGAAATATAATTTGATTCAAATCCTTTTAAGAAGAGCTATTGTATGAGGTCCTTACTAAATAAACTTCTTTTCCTTATCAACTAACTACAATTTATTATAGTGGTACCTGAAAGAACAAGATACAGTACTAGGATTAAAATATCAAAACACTGGGCAAAATAATCCCTGTATATGAGGTTCATCATTCCTACAGACATAAAACAGGCAGGTGTCACATATCAGGCTTTGCCAAATTAAAACCATGATGAAGTATTAACGGGGAAACAGATTTTCACAATGGAAAATATTCATAACATTTTTGTTACCTGGTGTATTGTTACTCATAGTAGCAGTTGTCCCAGGCAAGACAGGGGTCACGACTGGAGGAGGAATTCCTGCTGCCATATCCAATAGAGGCTGGATAATTTCACTTTTGAACACATTATTCTTCTGCCACAAATTTAGCACTCTCACAATTTTACTCTAAAAGGAAGCAAGGGTAACACAACCTTTTATATTGGAATTTACATCATAAGCATCCCCTACTGTTCCAAACTAAGTGTGGAATAGATGGCTGAATTTGGATGATTCTCCAGAACATGGTTTGGAAGAAATGTGTTGAGGGCTTGTGTGCTCCCAGTTTTCCTCTTGAATGTCAATTCCCTCTACCATTTCTAGGTTGCTTTATCACATGCCTGCCAAACCTGCTTCAAATCATGGTGTTATGGTCTACAACTCCCATAGTGCCTGTCCATTAGCAATGCTATCTGGAGCTGATGGCATCTGCAGACCAACATCTGGGTGCACCGTGCTGGTTACCCTTAGCCTGGAAGTTGCGACTCATCTACTTCACATGCCAAGGCAAATTACAGTTACAGCAACCTGAAAATAAATGAAGGAACCAGTATGCAAGAGGTGGCAGTGGCGGCAGAGAAGTCTATGCCATGCTTCTGATCCTCCCAACTGTTTCAGAAAATTGTTCAAAAGAAACCCATGTTATCAGATATAAAGGAGTATTTTTTAAAAAATCAGTTGCCCCTTAACCTGTAGCTCCCTCCTGCATGTTCCCTCCCATGCTGTTCCAAAGGGTCCACAAACTCTAAAGCAAATAGGAGATGGAAGGGGGTTTTGTGTGTGGTAAAAATCACCTCTTCCCCATTTTGATCCAGCCTCAACTGGATCAAAGCGTAAGCAGAGGGACACCATTAGATACAACCCCCATCATATATGAAAGATGAAACATGAGACTGATGTGCTTCACATTATGCTTGTAGCTAGGCTGACTTGAATGAAACTGGGGAAATGAAACAAAAAATCCTAAATTCTGTCTTTTAATATAAATAGTTGTGCCATTAAGCTGCATGATAAAGAGATGAATGCATTATTCCACTGACATAAGCCTATGCTTGATCAAAGCCCTCTGTCAGTGGAGGGACTCCACTGGATACAACTCTATGTGGGTGACACCATTGGATTCTTTTTCCTTGCTAATATTTTTAGGGTTGTTGAGAAGATATACTGAGAAGGCTTTTTTCTGGCAGATGAAGGCAACAGCCACTATGCTGTTATTCCTTAATTAACAGTTCCTCTTTCATAGAATCTTAGAGTTGGAAGGGACCTAAGAGTCACCTAGTCCAACCCGCTGCAATACAGGAATCTCAGCTATAGTATCTATTACAGATGACCAACCAAACTCTGATTTAAAACCTCCAAGGAATGACTTATTTGAAAAATAAGTCATGAGCAACATGCCATTATTATTATTATTATGCAGCTGAAGCACTTTCAACAAACAAAAGCATTATATAAGAATTAATAATATCCATGATATAATAACAATGTAAGGGTGTAGAGAACAGTAATAATCCTGTACTTAAAATACATAAAAATCTCTATACTTCTTTCCCACTTTCCACAAATAGTAGCACAAAATTTCCAGTCACTATTTTAAAAAGCTTATCGGTGATTGCTACACCTTTCTCCCAAATTCTTACTGGCAATGTATGCCTATTTCCCCAGAGACATTGTCAAGAAATACATTATCACCCACAGTACTAAGATGAAATTTAGATATGCTGAACTTTAATTACTGGACTGTCTGGGGGGAGGGGGAATAGAGATGATCACCATACCTTGTCATCCCCAGGGCAACGGTATAAATTCTGGAAAGTGCTAATTATGTTATTGCTAAACCTAGGAGCGAACACATCCTTTTCTTGTCCAAACTGATGTCGAGACTGTCGAACAATAGAGTCAATGACATATAAGCCAGGCACCTTGTATTCTGGTTTACACTATGAAGGAATATAGAAAGAAAACAGTCATTTTATATGTGAATCTGCAAGTAGTAGAAACAATAATAGCAAATTAAAACAACTGACCTAATTGCAATACTGTTTCAACAGTTGAATGTACCTGGGTAACTGCAAAAATAATGACAGGCAGGATGTGGTGGGGATTCTTCTTTATCTTTAGCTCTTTTTTTTAAAAAAAAAAGTTCTATTCCCATTGGTTTACATAGGAGGTTGCCTTATAATGAGTAATTATTGGGTCATCTAGCTCAGTATTGTTTACACTCACTGGCAGCAGCTCTTCACGGTTTCAGGCAGGGTCCTCTCCCAGTCCTACCTGGAGATGCTAGGGATTGAACCTTGCACCTTCTGCATGCAAAGCAGATGCTCTGCTACTGAGCTCTGGCCCTTCTCCTTTGAAGGGTTCAAGCTTTCAAACTATCTGCAGAATGAAGGGCCTTTGAGTTACCTTATTTATTTATTTATTTATTTATTCATTCATTTCTATACTGCTCTTCATCCAACAATCACAGGGTAGTTTGCAATATAAAACCACAAAAATGCACAACCCAGTAGCAAATTAAACCAGTAACTACCCCCACCCCAACAGTTTAAAAGTCCATAGATTGTTTAATTAGCCAAAGGCCTGGGAGAAGAGGAATGTTTTTGCCTGGTACCTCAAGATATGTAATGGAGGCATCAGGCAAGCCTTCCAGGGGAAAGCATCCCACAAGTGGAGAGTCACGGCAGAAAAGGCCAGTTTTCGTGTTGCCACTCTCCAGACCTCTCACAGAGGATGCATTGAAAAAGGGCTAAGATGATGATTGCAGGGTCCAGGTCAGTTTATATGGGGAGAAGCGGTGCTTGAGGCATTGCAGTCCTAAGCCATTTAAAGCTTTATAGGTCAAAACCAGAACATCTCATTTTGAAATCTACCTCTGGTATCAATGTGGTAAGTAGATCTATACCCATGGAGGGTTCTGTGCACGTAACTGTGGCTTCCAGGTCAGACATATACCATCAGCAGCAGCTGCCCACTAGTAGAAAAGCATCTCTATCCCATCCTAACTCTGCCAAGCCATGAGACCTGGAAGTCAGAAGCACCTCCTAATCTTTAAAATTAAAAGTATCTTAAGCTACAGCAACTTATTCTTCCAATAGTAGCCTAAGAATAAAAAGCAGTGGGGTCCTTTTTTATTCCTTACTTGTTGTATAAATGACAATACTTTGGGTGCATGGCACAACATTGCTCACAACACAGAAAACAATGCTTCCATGCAACAGCTTCAGCTACTGAGAAAGTGTTACACTATTTTTCTTTAAAATACAGATGTTTTGCTATCAAAATGATGTGAAATAAACAGTACATATGAAAGTTAAAGTAATTCATATTTAGCTCTCAACATGCAACAAACACCTATCATAACATGAAAAAGGAAAGGAAGCATAATAGTAGTTATTGTGCGAATAAAGATTTTTAGACTGATTTCTATGCACATACTCTGAAGTAATTATTGACATCAGTGCCTCATGCATATATGTATTTTTATTTGTCTTTAACAATCTATGAATTGATTTGATCAAGATACTAAAATATTACTAATACGATTTTATTTGGTAACTTACCTTTTGTATGAATTTTTCAACACTTTGTACAACATGCTTGTAGAACTAAAAGAAAAGAAAAGATATTTTTTCATTGGTTTAAATATATATATAAAATTCACTCCCCTTCTTGTTTAGTGATTTCTTTATACATTTTCTGGGTTCAATTTAATCAAGCACACAAACAATGACCACATGTTGAAGACTCCCACAGGACTCAATACAACCCAGTCCTTTCCCCATTGAGAACATGCAAGCAGCTCAAGATGGGTAGGGGCACTGCAGGAAATGTGGGAATGTTTCTAATCCTCCATTCAGACCTTTCTACGTGCAACATGCAAATTACTTGCGACCCTATTCCTTGCAATGTCCCCTAAGACTACTTAAATGCACATCCACATACTAATGGGGGGGTTAAGGTGAAGAACGAGAGTAGGATGAAAATCATGGCTCTAGGGAGGCCTGTGGACTTCTCCACCTGCTGATATTGCACTTGCACTCATCTCGGTTGAAATTCAAGTATCTACTTGTTTTCCCCATAAATAAAGGATACCTACCAATACCTTTTGCTCAACATTTTAAGCTACCCTGAATAAATTGATTGCTGGTTGCTAGTAAGGCAAAAAAACCCTATATTCTCCCATGGCTTCAAAAAAACAAAGACCACTACCAGTTAAGAGACATATGTAAGCAGTAAAACCAGTTTCCTACCTTTATAGCCTTGATTGCTGCCTTAGTAATCTGTGTCATTTTAGCCTTTGAAATAGGAGGTTTGTAGTCATTCAGCGAGTAGAGCTGAAAGAAAGAAAAAAGATTGCTGTAAACGGTGCCTGCAAACAATTTCCATGTTAGCAGCACAATACCGACAGATGGTTCTCCAAAGGAACCTGGGAAACAAAGCTAACCTAAGGAGAACCTCAGCATAGGAAAGTAAACAAGTATTGGTTTTGGACATGGGAAACTTAGGTTCAACACCCTGCAAAGTTATGAAGCTTACTGAGAGTTCTACTTTTGCCATAAGGGTGAATAGAATCATTCACTGTTTTGGAGCAAATAAAAAGGCACAATCAGAAAAAAGCATTAGAGGAGAAACTAAACCTGTCTTCTCCTTCAAAGACCCTGGTGTCTGCAGAAGGTACAGATCCCACCCCCCACCAATCAATGTTGCCAAGTGTAGCCTGTCTCCTTTCTTTCATAAATCACTGGAGCTTATCACTTTTGTGGAAGAACATTAAGCAGACATAACTGAATTCCACAATTTGCCCACCTCTATGCAATATATGAGACTGCAGTCCATTTAATTGCCCCATAGAATTTTATGGGAGCCACTGACAACTAAGAATGCCCCTAGATAAATAAATCTCTCTTTCTAGAGAAACCCTGAATTAACTTTTAATATCATATATATTTAATATATATAGACAATCTTTGGGCCAATAAGCAAAATGCTGCTCCATTTAATTATAGTGATAAAATTTATATCCTATCCTTCCTCAACAAATGGTTTCAGTGTGGATCACAATAATAGAAATACATTATTTCATAACTTTTGCTGATCCAATGACCGATTTAAGGTGTTTAAAAAAGCAAAATGGACAATAACACATTACATTTTACGTTGATGAGCAGACATCCATTCACACAATAAGACTTCTACTTCCTCTCCTTCCACCTACAGCCCCCTGCACCCCTCTGGATGTGCTCTGGAGGGTTCCCCAACCCTCTGCAGATTTGGGGGGCACAGAGTGGAGTGGAAGGGGGAGTCCCATTGCCCAAGTGGAAGCACATTCTGCAGGCACCTTTGGATGCAATACTCCTAAATCTCATGGAAGCACTAAGATTCCCAGAACGGATTTTCCTGGACCAGGAGACTTTTGCAACTATTGTTAAAAGTTGCAAAAACAAAGAAGCACAGGACTGAGTGAGGGAGAAACTTTTGGGATAACATCGGGACATCAGCTCCGTGCAAGGCATGACAGATAGCAGCAATAACCGGTAAAGACAGACATACAGTGTGTGGGGGAAAGTATTTGATCCCCTGCTAAATTTGCCCGTTTGCCCTCTGATGAAGAAATGACCAGTCCATAATTTTAATGATATGTTTACTGTAGCTGTGAGAGACAGAATAACAACAGGAAAACCCTCAGAAACCTAGAAGACAAAAGTTAGAGATTGATGTGCATTATAATGAGGGAAATAAGTATTTGATCCCTTTGCAAAAGATGACTTAGTGCTTGGTGGCAAAACCCTTGTTGGCAATTACAGAGGTCAGATGTTTCTTGTAGGTGGCCACCAGGTTTGCACACATCTCAGGAGGTATTTTGTCCCACTCGTCTTTGCAGATCCTCTCCAAGTCAGTTAGATTTCGAGGCTGATGTGTAGCTACTTGAACCTTCAGCTCCCTCTACAGATTTTCGATGGGATTAAGGCCTGGAGACTGGCTAGGCCACTCCAGGACCTTCTTGTACTTCTTCTTGAGCCACTCCTTTGTTGCCTTGGCCGTGTGTTTTGGGTCATTGTCATGCTGGAATACCCATCCTCGACCCATTTTCAATGCCCTGGCTGAGGGAAGGAGGTGCTCACCCAAGATTTGGCGATACATGGTCCCGTCCATCGTCCCTACGATGCGGTGAAGTTGTCCTGTCCCCTCAGCAGAAAAACACCCCCAAAGCATAATATGTCCCCCTCCATGTTTGACAGTGGGGATCGTGTTCTTGGGGTCGTAGGCAGCATTCCTCCTCCTCCAAACACGGCGAGTTGAGTTGATGCCAAAGAGCTTGATTTTGGTTTCATCTGACCACACTTTCACCCAGTTTTCCTCATTCAGATGTGCATTGGCAAACTGCAGACGGGCCTGTACATGTGCTGTTTTGAGCAAGGGGACCTTGCGGGCTCTGCAAGATCTCAGTCTTTCATGATGTAGTGTGTTACCAACTGTTTTCATGGTGACTATGGTCCCAGCTGCCCTGAGATTATTGACAAGTTCCCCGCCCCCGTGTAGTTCTGGGCTGCTTCATCACCGTTCTCCTGATCATTGAAACTCCACGAGATGAGATCTTGCATGGAGCCCCAGACCGAGAGAGGTTGACAGTTATTTTGTGTTTCTTCCATTTGTGAATTACTGCACCTTCTCACCAAGCTGTTTGGCAATAGTCTTGTAGCCCAGTTCAGCCTTGTGCAGGTCTACAATCTTGTCCCTGACATCCTTGGACAGCTCTTTGGTCTTGGTCATGGTGGCTACTTTGGAATCTGCTGGATTGATTGCTTCTGTCGACAGGTGTCTTTTGTACAGGTACTGTAACGAGCTGGGATTACATGTAAGACCTCTCCCTTACAGCAGGTGCTTCTAATCTCAGCTCGTTACATACAGTGAAGATACCAGGCAGCCTAATATCTGGCTGGTTGATAGGGGATCAAATACTTATTTCACTCATTATAATGCACATCAATCTCTGACTATTGTCTTCTGGGTTTCTGAGGGTTTTCCTGTTGTTATTCTGTCTCTCACAGCTACAATAAACATACCATTAAAATTATGGACTGGTCATTTCTTCGTCAGAGGGCAAACGGGCAAATTTAGCAGGGGATCAAATACTCCCCCCCCCACTGTAATATTTTACAAGGACAGGAAGAAACAACATGGGCGGAACAAATGTTACACACAGGAGGAACAAGGATACAGTATGAGATCTTCACTTGTAGACTTATAAATCATTAAATGTGTCAATATGAATAGAAGTTGTAAATATTGCAGCTGTTGTATAAGGGATTACTATTATGACTGGAATATAATTGAAA